ACCTACTATCCAGCCCCCACACACACTTGCAGATGCCTTTCTGTCTAGCCACCCCTGTCCCTGCCCTGGTTTTCATGCTCTCCAGTGGGAGTGGTTACCCACAAGGGAGGTGCCCACTATCTTCCCTACTAGGCCAAGCCAACTTCCGGATTGTGCACTCTCCAGGTGGTTCTGGCACTTAACTTAACAGAATTGGCCTCCAGTGCCAGCCTCTGCCATCTGATGATGTGGCAAAGCCCAACTAACCCTCACCCACTCTAATTTTTGCTTGCACCAGTCGGAACAGTCAGCCAAACCTGGCCCTTCCCCAAGTCTAGCTCACATGAGGCCCACAGGTGTTGTAGCCCTGCCTAGTCTGGTCTGCCCCCATCCCAACTCATGCTCTCCAGTAGGAGTGGTTGTCCAGCAGGGGAGCCCACATTCCCCTGTCAGCTTTACCTCCTCTCTCCCCCTCGACCCCCCCGGTTCTCACGTGTGCTGTTTGGGCACTGCAACCATATCTGGTATGGCTCACCTCACGTTGGCATTCCTCAATGTGCACTAGTATGTGTTGTGACTGAAACTGGCCTGACCCACACTCTATGCTGGTGCTCAGATTCGCCAGCAGTTGATGTGAATGGGTTCAGCCTGGTCTGCCCCCACCTATGCCATATGCATGATGTAAAGATTTATTTATCTTTATTGCAAAGTCAGATATACAGAGAGGAGGAGAAACAGAGAGGAAGATCTTCCATCTGATAATTCACACCCCAGAGACTGCACCAGCCGAAGCTAAGCCGATCCAAAGCTTGGAGCCAGGAACTTCCTCCAGGTCTCGCAAGTGGGTGCAGGATCCCAAGACTTTGGGCCATCCGCCACTACTTTCCCAGGCCATAAGCAAGGAGCTGGATGAGAAGCAGGGCTGCCAGGATTAGAACTGGCACCTATATGGGATCCCGGCGTGTTCAAGGTGAGTACTTTAGCTGTTAGACAACCACACCTGGCCCCAGATAAAAATAAATATTTAAAAAAAAAAAACCTACTACTGCCTGCCTGCCTTCCTTCTTTACTTTTCTCCCTCCCTCCTTTCTCTCTCTTTTCCCTTCAAGGTCACCAGCACTGGATATTCTTTGGCCAGATCTTCAAATATCTACAAGGTAACATGGGCAGTGATTCTAGGCTGTTGTGCCGCCTCTGTGTGTATGCTTTACCCTGATCCTCTTCTGGCCACTCTGGAGGAGGTCAGCACCACATTGGGCCACCAGGGCAGAAAATGAAAGGCCACGTGGATGGGGCCAGCAGAAAAGCAAAGAGCAAGCTACAAAGGAGACTCAGCATCTCAGACAACGTCCACAGAAGCCTGCTGACAGTGGCTCTCCAAGGTTCTGTCACCTGCCTACTTCTGCATTTCCCCTGGTGACCATGTCCACACTCAGGACTTCAAAGGATGTGTATGAGGCTGAAGGTGACATCAAAAGAGGATGTGCAGGCCCGGCACAATGGCTCAGTGGTTAAATCCTTGCCTTGAAAGCACTGGGATCTCATACGACTAAATCCTTGCGGTGCATGCCCTGGGATCCCATTTGACTGCCAGTTTGTGTCCTGGCTGCTCCACATCCCATCCAGCTCCCTGCCTGCGGCCTGCACAAGCCTTGGAGGATGGCCCAACATCTTGGGATCTGCACCCACATTGAGACTTGGAAGAAGCTTCTGGCTCCTGGCTTCATATCGACTCAACTCTGGCCATTGTGGCCACTTGGACATTGAACCAGTGAAATGAAAAATCTTTCTCTCTGTCCTACTCTCTATAAATCTGCCTTTCCAATAAAATAAATAAATTTTTGGAAGTAGAAGGACAAAAATCACAAACTACCACTACTACCCAGTACTTCATACCCATCGTGATGTAGCATAACACATAACCATGTGTTTATGGTGATGCTGATATTAACAAATCTATATCTGTCAGTCCTATAAAACATAGCTCATACATATGTATGCAATAAGACATGCTTATGAACATGAACCACTTTGTTACTGCTCTAACAATAAAATGAGTGGGCCCGGCGCAATGGCTCAGAGATTAAATCTTTGTCTTGTAAGCACTGGCATCCCACATGGGTGCTGATTTGTGTTCCAGCCGTTCCACTTCCCATCCAGCTCCATGCTTATGGCCTGGGAAATCAGCAGAGGAAGGCCCAAAACCTTGGGATCCTGTGCCCATCTGGGAGACCCAGAAGAAGCTCCTGGCTCCTGGTTTCAGATCAGCTCAGTTTTGGCTGTTGCAGCCATTTGGGAAGTGAACCAGCGGATGGAAGATCTTTGTCTCTGTCTCTCTTTCTCGTCATAAACCTGATCTGTCTTTCCAATAAGAATAAATAAATCCTTATAAAATAAAAATATTAGTAACACTACAACATGCTGATAAAAATACTTTGGAAATTCTTAACTTGCTTAACACTCCTAAACTTAAGGCCATTTGAAATAGCCAGTCATTCTATAGAATCAATGTAAGCTTGTAATCGTACAATCTGGCCGCACTGATGGCTTTTGGGCAGCAGGTTAGGGGTCTAACAGGTTACAGGCAGTCGCACCCATGGCAGGAAATGTGGGGTGATCCAACCAACAGCCTTTGGTGTCAATAACCCCAGGCTTTCGGGACTGGTTGGCCCCAGACAAGGCAGGATCCCCAATCTCAGGGAGCACAGAGTGGGCTGTGTGTCCTAGTGCTGAAACACACAGTGCATGCTGTGCTGCCTGCGCTGACTCCAGTGCAGAGGAGGGGAGCATGTCCAGGTGCACTCGAATGAGTCAGCCTGCTCCTATAAACCAGCTGAGGTCCTTAGATGCCACCTCAAAGACAAAAAAGGCCAGAAACTTCTCAGAGTTAGTGACAGTAATCTATGGACACAGCCAGCAGAATCAGCTAAGTTTTCTATGGCTCCTGAGATGTAGCCATTAGGTGAGATGCAGAGAGCTTTCTGAACCCAGGACATGAAGATCTTCACACCTAATCAGTAAGAAGCAGCGACAGAAGATGAGACAAATGTATATCCTCCAGCAGCCCTTAAGAAAAGGGGTTGGAAATCTCTTAGTGGGAGAGTGAAACAGGACACATAAGTAGCAAGCTTAGCATCACCAACTGGAAGCCAAAGCCCCCTACCTTATGCAATGTGGTCTATCTACTTGTCAATCAGATGGCCCCTTCCTCAGGAGGCACTCCCCTCACCTGGGACTTGGGGTGGTATTAGGTACTACCCCTCTCCAAGTCTAGGCCAGATCTCCAAGTCTAGTGGCTCACAAATCTGGCACGTATCATCCACATTTTGTTGCAATTACCAACAATCAACATTTCTTTTAACAAGCAAGTAGGATGAGAGCAAGCCATGTGCTCAGATTTTATAGATGGAATTACTAATCTAGAGCTACTAAACTGTGTCAGTGATCTCATTTTGAAATGAGGTAACAAAAGCAGTGCCCAGTGCCGTCAACATTTACGTGCAAATATGTGGTTCTCCAAGAGGGTTGCTGCAGCCCCACTACCAAGGGTACCTCACCCATGACCCCGACACTGGCACATGAGCAATGCTGACCTATTTACCATGCTTCAACAGTTTTTTGTTATATATTAGCAGTTAACATCTGTTTCACAGAGCTAAGAAATAACCAATTAAGAATTTGGGGTACTCTTTCTTTACATACTAACTGAAAAAATCTCATTAACATGGAACACATACACACACACAAGAAAAACGTGGAACACAGCAACTATCACATCTAGAATTCCAGAGAGTTAACCGAAAGTCAATGCGCTCATCTTTTCTGTCATATGTTGTTAATTAGAAACACATAATATACCTTTCTATTTGTGGAGGCTGTTTCTTGGACTGAACTGCTTGGAGAAATTCAGTAAAATACTCTGGCTTTACAATGGGGCATCCACAAATGAGTGCACAAATCGTCTAAAAGAAAGAAAATATATGTGGATATATATATATAGTCATTATGATAGCTTCTTCTAAAGAAAACATTCATGTTATAAACTACAAACATGCCTTTCTAATAATTGTTTTCTTTCCTTTTCTTAATTTGATAAACGAAGTCACAATCTGTAAAATAGAATTTCATATTTGCTCAGTTTTATACCACAAACCAGAACTACTCAATTATCAGAAGCCAATGACACAGTAGTCCTTTGGGATAGGCAGAATAACACAAAGACTTTAAAAATGCATTCCAATTGGAAAAACATTACAAGTACACGTTCAGGCTGAAGAAATCTAACCCATCCTGCAGAGGCAATACACATTAAGAGATAAATGGAAATTTCTTTGGAGCCTTACTGCTTTCAGAAGGAGTAAGAGTATAGAATAAAGCCTCTTCAACACAGTAAATCAAGGAGCAACTGGTTAGGCTCAGTGGAAGCTGATGCACACATAAAGAGAGAACGAAACTGTGAACTAACGTGAATCAAGCTATCAGCCTCAAGTAACACACATCCACAAACTCATAAAGGACTAGAAAATACTACTGTGGGCAATTAAAATAAGAAAGAGCTGGCATATTCTAGGAAATAATCCAACTATACAGTTTATACATATGTTTTCAATAATGCAGGTGTTAGGAGCGACCAGATTGAGGGTATCTCTAAAGACTGGAATCTGACAGATCCCAACTTCCTATGTGAATGAGATCATCCAAATGCAACATAGAGTATTTAAGTTCAATCAACACAAGACTGGAGTTCGGTCCTTGGGCTTGGGGGCAACTGACGCTCCCTGCAGTGTGGCGACTGTGGGGGGTGCCCCTGCCGGGTCGGACCCAATGCGGGGGACTCACGCCAAAGACACTGCCACAAGGCAGTGAACGAGTCCTCGGCCTCCCCCAGGACCCAAGAGAGCTCTTCCCTCAGGGTAAGTCCGCCATGAGGGAACTTGGGAACTGGGTGGAAATTCCTAGCTCCGCCCAGCTGCTAAGACCATGCGGCTGGGGGAGTTTGGGAGGAGTTCGGTCCTTGGGCTTGGGGGCAACTGACGCTCCCTGCAGTGTGGCGACTGTGGGGGGTGCCCCTGCCGGGTCGGACCCAATGCGGGGGACTCACGCCAAAGACACTGCCACAAGGCAGTGAACGAGTCCTCGGCCTCCCCCAGGGCGGCCAGTGCACCAAGTGGTGCCAGGCTTTGCCTGCTGGCCGCCCGGAAGGGCAAACTCTGGGGTTTTCAAGATATGTAATTGCTGCCTGGGTCACTCATGACTAAGACTAGGTTGAGTGTAGGTGCAAAGTGAATTTTCGGGTATTCTCAGTGACAGTGTCATGAAAGATACAAGCAGGCAAGGGGACCAAGACCTAGGGGTTTGGGGGAAGTGTCCAGAAGATAATTTTAGTAAGACAGATGCAACAGCTCAATTATGAATACAGAGATGGGATATTAGTATTGAACATCACTGATCACCATATACTAGCCCACACCGAAGCTATGGATGGGGGCCTCTTTGGCAGTGTTGGGTACCATTGCCCGACTGAGTGTTGGAGTTGTGGAGTGGTCACATTTGGCAAATCAAGACACTCTCCAGCACACAAGAGAACTTGGGCTGGGGGTAGGCTCTGTGGGGTTGTGTGGGTCCAACCCTTTGGAATACAAATCCCCCGGGTTAGTTCCCAAGCTGGGGTTGCAATGGTCTAAGCTAGGTGTGACCACGACATCTGCCATCACTCATGGGTAAAGGAATCCACAACAGTCAGGGTAGGTCAAGGCAGCAGCACCCAAATGTGCATCTTTAAACAGGATGTGGGGTGGGCCGGGCTGCCACTGGAAGGGGACAGAAGGGGCAAGGCTGAACAAACCTTAACTCACAAGTAACAACAGAAATCAGGTTGGAGCACAGCTCATGCCAGGTAGGTCCTTGCACATACTGATCTGTGTGAGGCAGAGGCACTAAGCCACAGCATCCAAGGGGCCACGACAAGTGAGGGGCTCTGCCAAACAGAGACAGAACAACCACCGGCCTACACCTGCTCTATGGCAGGGCAGAGGCCCGGTTGGGGAAATAACAGGACACCCTAGCTGGGTTGAGTTTCCCACCAAGGAGCGCATGGGCTGGAACTGAGGCTACATTCTGATCAGGATACGATCGTAATCTCACTTGGCACAATTGTGGACTGGGATGGGAAGCACCAAGCCAGGCCAAATTCCAACACCATCTGGTGCTCTGGAGGACCGGGGAGGGTTGTGTGACAGACTAGGTTAGGTCTCAGCCCTTACTGAACCATGTGTGAGCTTGGTAGGGGTATGGAAGAGCCATGGCTGGGTTGAAATATCCAACAACAAGAACCTGCTTGGGTCGGAGGCCAGGCAGGAAAGCCACTGTTCCTCCTAGGATAGCAGGCGAAACTGAGTAGTGCTGGCTCATGGACCCACTGGTATTGCTCGAAAAACTGGCATGGGGACAGGTTACTGATGGAGGAAAGCCCGGGCAACTCCTCTGCCAGTACCCAGTCCATGCCAGGTTAGCGCCAACAAGCACAATAGGGAACTACCCAAAAACCGGCAATGAAAATTTTCCCACTGGCATACACATGGCCATGGGTTGGGGGCCAGACCAGGCCTGAATCTGATTCACATTACCTTCTGGTGAATCCTAGCACCAGAACAGAGTGTGGGTCGAGCCAGGTTCGGTAGCAAACCACATACCAGGGTACACAAACAAGTAATGCAGGGTGAAGATGAGCCGTACCAGATGTGGCTGCAGCAACACAACCAGCACATGTGCATAAGGGAGGAGGCAAGCCAAAAGGGGAAACGTGGGCAACCCCTGTGGATAACTACTTCATGGAAAGTGTGATTACGGATGGGGGCAGTTCAGACTAGGCAGGGTATAGCATCTATGGGCCTCACGGTGAGCTGACTGTTCTGTCTGGTGCAAGTTAAAAATTGAGTGGTTGAGGGGTGTTTTGGCTTAGCCCACAGCATTAGCTGGCAGCGGCTGGTATAAGGAGCCCAATTCTGAACAAGTCAATGCAAAAACAACCAGGAGGACTGCATACTCTAGGAGTGGGTGTGGCCTCGTAGGGAAATAGTGGGCACCTCCCTCAGGGGTTACCACCCTCATGGACAGGCAGGAAAACAGGCTCGGAGCGGGGTGGCTGCCAGAAAGGGCACCTTGCCAGGGGTGTTATGCGGCTGGATATAGGTTGGTTGGGTTGAACAGGCTTCAATGTCCATTGAGTGTGCAGGCGTACTTGGTATGTGGAACAGACTGACAAGCCTGGCAGTGCATACTGGCAAGCATGGGATCCAGGGTAGGGGGCAGAACTGGTAGGGGTTTTGGGGAGTCGCTCAACTAAGGCGCAGCTCCAACTGGTTTGCATGAAAGGACCGAGTATGAAGTGGGTAGAATCGAGCTGGACTACAACACCCCATGGTACACAAGGAAGGCAGGGCTGCGAAGCGAGGACCCAGTAATCGCAACGACCAGATATGCATAAGCTGATTGGTGTGACGAACACGTGTTGGAGTTCTGTACTAGCAACTCACTCAAGAAATCAGATCTGGGATTCCAACTCAGATGAAGTTTTTGGATATTTCTCCCAAAATTTGAACTGCTGATCTTGGAACCCCAACCATAAGAGACTGTCAGCCAGTGGACTCTAATAGGTTTCATTACGGTTGGACGGAGACGATTGGCAAGCAATCCAAGAACTGATGATCTATAAAACTGCCATGAGCAGGCCCTTGGAGCGCACCTCAAGTTGGGGGGATGGGGGATGGTGGGAGGTAGGGTGGGGCTTTCCCCTTTGTTATTCCAAACCTAATACAGGGCAAAATGATTATATTATGTGTGGAAACAATGATATTACCCACTTTCACCTGTAGCCCGTGGACCCTTTGACCCTAACTGAACTAAGATTATTAAAAAAAAAAAATCAACACAAGATGACGTCAAAACTGCAAACACGCGCAGTCTGGGCTAAGCACGTAACTGCTCCGAGTCGCAATTTGCTCTTCAAAATATAAAAGCTGAACTAAATACTCCTCAGGTTTCCCTCTGGTTCTAACATTCAATAATCTAAACAAAACAAAAGCAAAAAGCAAAACAAAACAAAACAAAACCCTATAAGCCTAACTATGCATTGAGAACGCTGAGCAAAAACTAATGATCAGGGTTTATTTATTTATTTATTTACTTATTTTACCAAAAAGTGATCAGAAACACCAAAGAAGAAACGCTGCACACTCCATGGTGGTGTCTCTAATGGTGGTCATTAGCATGTCAGGTACTAGAAGTGTCCAGCTCTGAGGACTTGGCAAAATCTCCCAAGACAATCAAAGCATCTTTGACCTTATTTCAGGCCTTCTAAACCCATGTATCATTACCTACTCCATTTGAGTAACTTAATATCTTAAGGGGGATTATGCTGAGCTAACATTTAAATATCAGGTCCTCATGCATATGAATTTTGGTTTTACAAATGTTTTATGAATCTATTACCTGTGAGTTTATCAACATGAGTATTTTTTAAGTTAGTCTTGCTGCAGCAGCAAAAAAATCAATGTCCTAAATTTTCCAAGAGGAAACTATCTTTGTTCAGGGTAACTTCACCATGGTACAAATTTAACTTCAGGTTCAATCTGGGCAGTGAGCCTTTCTCTTTGACAGCTATTTTATACACATATATGTACACACATAAGAGCCATTTATGTATAAATTAGAATATAACACTAATATTTAATTAATTATAACAAAAGGTTTTTGCATCTTCAAACACAGCCTAAAACAATCCCACATATCTTTTGCACAGTCAGCCTGTTTAACAAATCACATCTTAAACGCCATTCTTCAATTACCTTTGGATATATCAAATCTGATGAAAATGCAAAACCTGAAAATATACCAAAATACATCACTGCTTTAATGACTAGTCAGCATCTTTGGAAGGTACATATCCATACATTTCAGGGCTTTAAAGATACAGCAAAGAAATCTTTGTGTGATTACAGCTTAACTGAGGGAGCATGAGACCATGAGACAATGTCAGAGACTGGAGGAAGACAATCTGACAGAAGAGACACATGGTGCTAACTCTGTGCTGTGGTGAGTTCACTCAAGGTCCCAGAACTTGTTTTAATATGGGAACACAGTTCAACTTACTTCCATGGTGACTTTCACTGACATCATGACAAGGTGAGTACATTCTTTTGTCCAGCTGTTCACAGTGAGTCCTCCAAGTTGCAACACAGCTTGATTTAGAGCAGTTTTCCCAGACACATCTAAGCAAGAAGAACAGGCAACCAAAGGTTCATACTCTACCCTGTGAATGACAATAAAGTTACGTTATCACAGTTACAAAGACTTTACAACTTTACAATACTTTACAACTTTAAGCTTACAACATATTATTCATTTAATTTTGACACATTATAAATTTGTAACTTAGGAAATTCTTACCTCCTAAATCTTGTGTTCCCAAAGAAGAAAAAGACATGGCCAACATCAACATTACATTTTAACTTATGAAGCATCAAACAAACGAGGCTCCTATCACAACTCACAGGGACTAACACAAACTTTTACTCACCTGTCACCCCCCACCTGTGATCCACAAAATATACCAACAACACAGAGTTCACTACTGTGCTAAACGGGAAGTCAATTATACTTCATCTTATAATCCTTATCTTTGCTTTAAAATTCAATTGTTGTGAGATAAAATTGTCCACTTTAATCTAATTTAAAAAGTGTGGGGCCAGTGCCACTGGTTTGGTACACTAAGCTTCCACCAGGATTCCATATGGGCAACAGTTCATACCCCAGCTTCCCAAATGTGGATCCAGCTCCCTGCTTGTGGCCTGAGAAGGCAGTCAAGGAAAGCCCAAAGTTGTGGGACTCCTAAGCCATGTGGGAGACTCAGAAGAGGCTCCTGGTTCCTGGCTTCAGATTGGCCCACCTCTGGCTGTTGTGGCAACTTGGGAGTGAACTAGGCAGGATCTCAGTCTCTCCTTCTCTCTGTTCATCTGCCTTTCATGTAAAAGTAAATCTTTAACAACAAAAATTAAATAAACAAATCCATACCTGAATTTACTTTCAAACACTCCAAAGGTGACTCTATCCCCTGTCTTCAAAGTTTGGGGAAGGTGATTTTGCATTTTTGCCTCATTAACAAAGGTACCATATTTAGAATTATCTTTGATTGTCAATACAGGGATTTCATCAGTTTGACTCTGAAAATTAGAGAAGTAATTACGAGTCTTTTACAGCTCAAGCACATACAATCCAGGGGGAAATGATTCACAGGAGACATTTGATAACTTTTGAAAAGGGTAAAATAATAAACAGCTGCATATCCTGCCACCACAGGGAATGACAGCTACTGTTCTGGCTGCCTTCAAAGGACTAATTAGCAATTAACATAAATATCTCCCTTTAAGAAAATCTCTGAATTTCAGAATTATAACTCTTAGAACACACATTTTTCTTTATTTCTGTAAATCAGTTGGGACTTTCCCAACCCTTCCATTTCACACACTTGAGAATTTTATGATTGGCAGCAGTTTGCTTCATGCATAACATGACAGCTTCAGTCCTACGTTTTCGTTTTGTTTTGTTTACATTATCAAAAGCACATGGTAAACACTGGGCGAGTAAAAACAAGGCATAAAGCCTAGAGGTTCTGACTTTTGGTAATAATTTTATTTTTTCTATTGCAACTTCTATAATAATGCTTTTCTACAACACAAATAGACACAAAACCTAAATGCCAGTAAACTAATCCATCACTTGTGCATTTGTCACATTTGTTCAAACTAACTGCTTACTTTCACTTTCTTGTTCCTACCACGATGATTTTGAACGTATTTATTCATATATTTTTATCACTCTCATCACCCGTGGTTCTGGTGAAAGCTAACAAATACCTTCCAAGCCATTCAAAAGAGCTGTGGATCAGAAGCAACAGTTGTCTTCCCCGGGAAAACCGTCATTCCCACTGCGGAGCCTCCCTTTACACACCCAGACTTTGTGTCCATCAGTCACATACTCTCTTTAAGAGCGAGCATCAGGAATGTATCACAGCTAAGCCCAATAACTCTCACCACGGAACAGTCAATGTTGTTAAGTAAACAAATACAAATACAACCTACTTTCTCCAAGTTTCTAAGTCACTGAAACAAAAGCATAAAATGCTCAAACAGCTCTCTCTCTCTCACATCAAGGCAATATAGTGTGATTTCAACTCTCACTGCAAGCTAGCAAAATACAATCAGGAACATACCAAGTTGGTCACAGCAAAATTAGCAGTTAACACTGCATGATTTCGACTGATTGACTGATCATCTTCAATTAGAATAGCACAGTTTTTCCTTCCAACGATGTACTCAGTGCCAGTCAAAAGTCTGTATGGTTCTAAGAGGAATAAAATAATGAGACACAAACACACATACATAAATGTGTACATTATATAGGATAAAATTCATGATATGCCAAGAAAACATTTTAGTTTGCTATTTCAATGTTAATCAGTTTTACATAAATTAAGCTCACACTTTCTATTAAACCCTTATTGAGGAATATCAAAAGATCACCTACATTAATGCAAGGGCATACCATTTCTCTCAAGGAATAACAACAGTGAAAGGAATTGCTTTCCCAAAGTATACATTTACTGAAATCCCAAGTAAAGTCCCAATATGAACTTGACTGGAGCTTCCATCCATTAGTTCACTCCCCAAATGGCCACAATACCAGAGCTGTGCCGATCTGAGACCAGGAGACAGGAGCTTCTTCCAGGTCTCTCATATTGAGTGCAGGGTCCCAAGGCTTTGGGTCGTCCTGGACTGCTTTTTTAGGCCACAAGCAGGGCACTGGATGGGCAGTGGAGCAGCTGGGATAAGGACCAGTGCCCATATGGGATGCCAGTGCTAACAGTAGAGGATTAGCCAGTTGAGCCATCACACCAGCCCCTATTCTTTGTTTGTAAATTTTTACTTTACTTATTTGGGGGACAGGGATACACGTTCTGACTCACTGCCCAAATATCCAGGGTATCTGAGCCCAGGACTCAAACTTGGTCTGTCCCACAGGTGGCAGTAATTCAACTCTGAGCTGTGGCCAAGGGTGCACTTTAGCCAACAGCTGGAGACAGGCTGAACAGGACTCCCAGGCTAGCCCTGCTACACAGTGCCAAATGCCTGCCCTGAGCAGTGCTATCCATGTAACAGATGGCTAAGTCTCAGCCTGTCACCTACTCAGACCAGGTCCTGAGGGCAAATGCCTTCTCACTGCACACTCAGACCAGGCCAACAGTGAGCTGCAACTAACCAATCCCGCTGTTTCTGGAAGTCACCTCCTACCGACTGCTGGACTGTTGGGTGTTACCAGAAATGCCCGGTGGGTTCTTTCCTCAGCTTAGTATAGAAATAAAAAGCCGGGAATCTGTTACAAACAGAAAAGTTTATTTGCGAAGGGACCAGGGAGCAGGGAAGGGAAGGAAGGGGAAGCACCTCCGGAAGAGAAGCCAGGAGGTGGGGTGCTCTCGAAAGAGGAGGGAGAGAGAGACACCAAAGGTTTGAGAAAGGATTTTAGGATTTTAAGCCTTCCTTGACCCCTCCTTGTTGGGCGGGGAACCTACAGGTGAGATGTTCCCCATTGGTGATCTCTTGATTAGTTAAGAAATGGGTGGGCAATGCTGGTGCCACCCACCTGAAGGTGTGGCCAAGACCTCAGAGGACCTGGATGGTCTCATTGGGTACTGCTCTCTCAACCTCCACTGGCTCGGGCCACACCTTGATTCATGAAGCCTTTCCTCAGGTATGCTGTGCCAAACTCAATTTGTCTCAGGTCTGTCTGCTTTCCACACATCCACAGGAACCCTGAGGGCCACGAGACAAACTGAAATCTCTATGGTCTGGCCTTGCACTGGTGCAAGTTCATAGGAATGCCTGTATTGGTGTTTACAAAAGTCCTTCAGAGGCCAGATCATATTAATTCTCAGTTTGCAGTGCTGGCATCGCATGTGGGCACTGGTTCAACCCCAAGCTGCTCCACTTCCCATCCAGCTCCCTGCTTCTGGCTGGGAAAGCAGTGGAGCATGACCCAATTTCCTGCACCCCTGTATCCACATTGTAGGGCAAATGAGACAAGCTTCTAGCTGCCAGCTATGCACTGGTCCAGCTCTGGCCATGGAGGCCATCCCGAGAATTGAGGACTTCTCTGTCTTTCCTGCTCTCATTCAAGTGAAATTAAGAAATCTTTCTTTTTTTCTTTAATCCTCCTTACATAGCCAGTCAACACTGCCTCACAATTGAACACCCTGAGCACACAGGCAATCATGGCTTTCCCGGCTTACCCTTTCTTTTATCAGCCAATAAGGACCACAAACAGCAGGCAGGCAACTAGCAACTTCCACTAGAGAAGTGCAGACACACAGGAAAGGGGCGGGGTGAAGTAGCCTGGCTTTTGCTGCAGCTCCCCTGGGACACCAGCATCCCAGGTTTGTGCAGGGGGTCCAGCCCAGCACCGCCAAGGCGCACTCTGACAGACAGCAACTGAGGCCCTTGCATCCCGGGGTTCCTGGCTTGGGCCTGACCAGCCCCAGTGTTGGACACATCTAGGCCAGTGAACTCGGAGATGCAAAATTCTGGTGTCTCTTTCAAAAAGAAAACGTCTGGGCTGTCCCCTCTTGCTGACAGCACGGAAACGCGTCTGAAACAACAGAAAGCTTCTCCGTGCACCTGTTTCTCCTCAGCCACCTCAGCCAGGGCTCAGCGAAGGGCCAGCCGCCCCACCGCCCATGCCCACTGCACAGCGCCGGGGTCCCACGGCCACTGCACAGCGCGGGACAGGGCCGGGCGTCCACCCGCCCAACCCCGGGGCCGAGGACAGCCGGCCTTCCCCGCCACGGCGCAGCCGGGACCACCACGCGCGTGCCAGACCCCCGGTTTCCTTCCCGTTCCGCCGTGCCCCGGAAGGTAAGGGGACCCGACCGGAAGCGACCCTCCCCGACTTCCTTCCCCGCGTTGGCGCTCCTCCGAACCCGGGCCCTCTGTCCCTCTCTGTCCTTACCTCGGGCTGGGCCCGCGGCCGGGAGGAGCTTCCACATGGGCCCTGCTGCCGGCCGACGCGACCGGCGCCAGCCCGCCTGCCAGCCGCCCGAGCTGCGGGGCGAGCGCGCTCCCGGGCCGCGCGAGCCTCTGTGCTGCCGGCGGGATGCAGCGGGCGTGCGGCCAGGGCGCGGGGCCGCCACCTGCTGGGGAGCCAGGAACAGCGCTGTCTACAAGTTCACCAGGTACTTGTTGGCAAGAATTGCAGAGAGAGCTGGAGAGACAGACAAATCTTTCAGCTGCCCTGTGGTTCCCGAATGGCTCAAAGATCAGGGCTGGACCAGGCCCAAGTCAGGAACTTCATCAGGGTCTGCCTTAAGGGGGGTATGGGCCCAAGCACTGGGGCCATCTTCCAGCTGCTTTTGAAAGATTTTTTGTTGTTGTTTAAATTCGTCTCACCTGAGGACGTTTTTCATTGATGCATTAGGATACTCCATGCATTTGGATTTCCTTAGTTGCAATGATTCATTTGTGTGGATCTCTGAGGAGAGTGTTAGCAGTGAGGATGATGGTTTCATCCCAAAGTAACTCCTTGAGATTTTCTTTTTCAAATTCAAGTCAACTTATCCTTACTTCTCTGTTGCGTATTATGCTTTTCTCTAATCATACATGAAGTATGGGTAGTCTGCCACTATGTCAATTTTTTCCTGTTTCAGGTTGGTTTAAGGTCTCCTAATGTATCGTCATCTAACTGCAAGTCTCATCTTTTCTTCAAGCCAGGAACCCTCCGACTACTTGAGAACACACGTGTGATGGTGCAATTTCTGTTTTTATGAAAGAATTCGGAGGAGACCTGATAGAGGAGCTTGGGGAACACCTCCGTCAGGACACAGTCCCTGCAGGTAAGCACAAGAACCAGGGCAGGGAGCAGCCCAGCCCAAGCCCGATTACAGTACCCACCAGTATACCTGTGGCTCAGATATGGCGGTAGGCCAGGCTGGACCAGTTCTTAGCACCCACTGGCAAATCTGAGAACCAGGACAGGGTGCAGGACAGGCCTAGTCAGGCTGTAACAGCAGCCAGTTCACATTTAGGATTGTGACTGAGGGCTGGCTAGGCTAGGCTAGGCTGCAGTTCCCAACAGCATGAGCTGGAATTAGGCACAAAACATGCCAGGCCAGGCTGCAGTATCAGCTGACAAATGCCAAGGTGAGGCAGGCCATGCCATATCAGGCTGCTGCACCCACCAGTACATGTGAGACCAGGGAGAGGTGGGTTAGCGTGATAGGGTGGCAGCAGTTGGAGTGAGAACTGGGACTGAGGGCAGACCAGGCCAGACCAATACCCATAGGGCTGCATGTGAGCTGGGAAAGGCAGCAAGACTAAGTGACTATAAACACTGTGCATGCATGAGCCAGAAGAAGTGCAGGCTGCCCGGGCTTTGCCACAGCGTCAGGGCTGGCAAATGCTGGGACTAGGGGCAACTCCTGTCAAGCTAGACTGCAGAACCACCAGGAGAGTGCAGGATCTCCCAGTAGGGAAACTGTGGGCTCCTCTCTAATGAGCTGTGACTCCCACAGGTAACCATGGGAAGCAGGGCTGCAGGTGGGACTGTCTGGCCAAGCAGTGGCATCTACTGGAATGAGTGTGGGCTGGATAACGGTGTTGGTTGGGTTGAACTAGGCTAAAAGGCCCATTGATGTATACAAGAGCTGAATGGGATGGTGTCAGACAGGAGCAGTCTGCTGCACATAGTGAGAAGTACACTGATGGTGATTTTGGGGGGTCACTCTGACTAGCCTACAGTTCCTGCTGGTATGTTTGAGGATCAAATGTGTAGTGGGCTGTGTTGGGCTGGATGAAGCATCCATTCGTTTGTGTAAGAGATGGGCTTGACACAGAACTGACCCAGCACAGCCTGATGTGTTGTCAGACTAAGCCAGACCCTGTACTGGCAAGCACACACAGAGTCAGGTCTGGGTTCAGCAGAGATGAAGTCTCTGTGGGATTCACCCAACTGAACCACTGCACTCAGAATTCCAACCGTGTGTTGAATCCTAGGACCAGTGGACTGACTGTGGAGTGCAAGTATCAGAAGTGGGCCTCCACAATAGCTAAGGCAGCGTAGTGGATGGCATATCCAGATGCATATGGAGGATATGCCAGTCCACTGGGCATGCAGTGGACATCTGCTACCACAGCAGAGGAAGGAGGGTAAAGCAAACTGTACAACTAGCCCAGCCAAGTGTTGACAGCATATATCTGGGCGAATGGAAACTCTAAGGTGGACTGTGTCAGTCAGTGGTTCTTGGATGGATTTCCTCATCCTTGAAGCAACAAAACTGACAGCATTTCAAAACTATTGAAACCACTTGAGCACAACCTTCAGAGCATGCTTCCCATTGGGACCCTGGTATGATATTGGATGGCCATTCCCCACCCCAGGTACTGAGGCAGTTGGAAGGCTGAGTGCAGCTTCTCTTCTCATCTCCTCCCTTGCCCCCAGAGACAGGAGGAAGAAAAGGAAACTTGCAAACAATGATCTCACCCACTTTCCCCTAACCCTCAATCCTTCCCACCCCCAATCAACTGTGTAACTTCATCATTTTAAAAAAAATGTGATTTAGGGAGCTAGCACTTAACATAGTGGCTAACATAGTGACCTCCTTCCAACATCAGAGTGACTGTTTGCTTGCTGGCTTCATCTCTTGAGTCAGACTTGCTGCCAGTGCAGACCCTGGGACAGAGTGATGATACTTGGGTTTTCTTTCTTTCTTTCTTTCTTTTCTTTCATTCTCTCTCTTTCTTTCTTTCTTCCTTTCTTTCTTTGTTTCTTTGTTTCTTTCTTTCTCTCTTTCTCTCTTTCTTTCTTTCGTCCTTTCTTTCTTTGGTTCTTTCTTTCTTTCTTATTTGCTATTGTTTTCATTTTGTTGTTGGGTATCTTCAGATTTTTCTTCAGTGTTTTCTTAATTTTCATTGCCAATCTCTTTTCATCCTTAAATTTGTGCCAGGGTGTATATGTATGTATGTATGTTTTGTATGTATTTTTGAAAGAAATTATTTTACTTGGAAATGCAGAGTTACATAGAGTTTCCATTCCAAATGGCTGCAGTGGGCAGAGCTGGGCCATTGTGAGGCTGGGAGCTAGGAACGCCTTCCTCATCTCTCACATGGGTGCAGGTTCCCAAGGACTTGGGCCATTCTCCACTGCTTTCCCAGTCACTGGGTTGGGAAGTGAAGCAGCCAGGACATGAGCCAGTGCCCATATGGGATGCCAGTGCTGCAGCAGAGGATCAGCCTGCTTCACTGCTCCCGCCCCTGTGTGTATTTCTGTAGCTACTGTGACTGAGATTGTTCTCATCAAGTTCTTTCTCAGCCAAGAAAGAGCCTGTTGGCCTATCAAAATACTACTGGAGTAATTCAAAACAGTTTGACAAGAACTGGTATTAGCTGTTTCTTGGAGGTTTGGGAGAAGTCATTAGTGAAGGCATTTGGTCCTGAGCTATTGCATTACCAGTTATTTGTTCAAGTGTTCTCTTTGTGACTCAATTTTGGTAAATTGCATGTTCCTGTAGATTTCAAAGTTTCTTCCAGATTTCCTGATTTGTGGGTATATGTTCATAATAGTTCTGACTGATTCTATTTCTGTAGCAACCATTGTTTTCTCTTTTGTGTCTCATTCAAGTGACTTTTTAAAAAAAGATTAATTGTATGTATTTGAAATGAAGAGTGACAGAGAGAGTGGCCAAGATGAAGAGATTTTCCATCCCATCTACTTGTTAACTCTCCCAATGGCTGTAAAAGCTGAGCCTGGCCAGACCTAAGACAGGAGCCAGTCTTTTTTAATGTCTTGAGATTTGTTTTTTTGCCCTACTTATTGTTCTATGTGCTGATGAAAAGGATGTGCATTCTACAAGTGTGAGGTGGGATAGTGTACAAGTGTGTTGGGTCTGTTGTGGGGAAGGAGTTAATTAGCACTGGTTAAGCTGAGCAGTAACAGGAAATGGGTTTGTGGCTAAAAGCACCTGGACTAATGGGACTCATTATGCTATTGTTTGGCTAAAGGACTTGGGGGAAAGAAAATAAAAGAACGAATAAAGGGAGGCTTTGGAGAGACTTCCACCATGACTGGTCTCTTGGTGCTTCATCCTCAGACCCTCTCCCTGTCCAAATTACTGGCTCTGCTGACAGGAGCAGGCTCCACTTGGTCCTTGTGTGTATTGAGTTTGTTATTTCTTGGTTGACTTTTTTGTCTTGTTGATTTGTTCATAGATGAAAGTGGAGTTTGAATTAACCTGGTATTAATACAACTTAAGTCTCCTTTTAGATCTGCAAAATTTCTGTTTATAAAATGGTGCGCTAGCATTAGGGGTATATGTATTTGCAGTGGTTATATTGTCTGTTAAATTGATTTCATTATCATTGTGTAGGATCATGGTCTCGTTAACCATTTTTGTCCTAAAGTTTACTTTGTTTATGATAAACATGGTTAATCCCTGCTCATTTTAAATTTGTATTTACCTGGAGTATCTTTTTTGTTTTTTTTTTTGTTTGTTTTTTTTTTTTTAGATTTATTTTTAGTCCAGGGGAAGTGGTAAGGCAGTAAAGTCCTTGCCTTGAACATGCTGGGATCCCATATTGGCACTGGTTCTGATCCCAGCAGCCCCACTTCTCATCCAGCTTCCTGCTGGTGGCCTGGGAAAACAGTTGAGTACAGCCCAGAGCATTGGGACCCTGCACCCTCATAAGAGACCTGGAGAAAGTTCTTGGTTCCTGGCTTTGGATTTGCACAGCACTCGTGGTTGTGGTCACCTGGGGAGTGAATCATTGGATGGAAAATCTTCTTCTCTTTCTCTTCTCTTCTCTATATATCTGACTTTACAATCAAAAGAGCAAATTAAAAAAAAATTTTGTTTGCTTTTTATTGGAAAGTCAGGTTTACAAAGAGAAGAAGGGACAAAGATCTTCCATCTGTTGGCTCATTCCCCAGGTGGCCACAATTGTCTATCTTCAACTGCAGGGAGCTGGATGGGAAGTGGAGTAGCAAGGATATGAAGTGGCATCCATGTAAGATCCTGGTGCATACAAGGCGAGGACGTTAGCCAATAGACTCCCATGCCAGTCTTATTGTGGTTTTGCATTCTTTCACTTATACTTTGTATTTTTACAGACGAATTTTGTTTCTTGTGGGCAGGCTTTTGCATATTACTGTGTCCTTTTATAATTTTTTTAAATTGATTCATCTAATCTGTGTTTCTCAGAATTTAGTCCATTTACATTCAGCGTTACTGTTTTATTTCAATTTTTTATTTCTTCAGATATTTGTTGAATGTTCCTAGTAGAATTCAGATTTTTACAATGAAAGTAGGATTTTTTTGCTTTGGTGTATAATACTTCCTTAATTATCTTCCACCTTTTGGAGAATGTATCTCCCACCTAAGCCTCCAACATCCTTGCCAGTCCTTACTCATCCATTCAAAACACCAGCAATGCATTAGATCTGTGTGTTCTTTTCCTTTTAATTTTATTTTGCTGATATTTACATAGTTGAGAAGGATGTATACACCTGTGGACTGCTGATTGTGGTGTGGTCAAAGGAACAGGGGAAAGTGGATGAGGCCATTTTTTCCAAGTGTTTGTTTGTTTCTTTTTTTCTTTCTTTCTTTCACTCATTGTCTCTCTCACTGTCTCTCTCTTAGTGTGTGTGTCTCACACTTTCTTTCTTTCTTTTCTTGTTTTGTTTTCTTTCTGTACCTGGGTCAAATGGGAAGGAAGGGAGGAGGGCCACTTCCAGCAGCCCAACTGCATCAGCACCCTGGGGATGCAGGACGGCCACTTGATGTCATCCCAGGGTCCCTGATGTGGAGCATGTTCCAAGGGTGCGCTGAAGTGATTTCGACAC